ATGACGTCAAACCCAACGGGATGCCATAAATAAACTACACAGAATCACACTACACACCTACACAATGATTACATTCAGGCAAACTGTAGAATACAACCTCTTTGGACAATTTATATACTTATTGAAAACTAGCTACAAAATGTAATACCTTGGAAAATGCCGTTTGATACTTTTTAATAGCCTTAATTTTCGCTTAATTGATTTATCAACTTTTAATACTTTTTAAGACCCCGCGGACACCCTGTGAACATCTACCTTTTGTAATCAAACGATGACCTCTCCACAGGTGAACCAATCATAAAGAGGGGGGTTTGATATGTTCAAAAGATTATAACAAACACCAAACTGAAGCCATTTCAATAGTGAATCCCTAATCTAACATTCTCATCACGATGACGACACATTGAGCTCAGACTCTCACACAGTTATACTTCCACAATGCAATGAGCCTCTGAATATCAGTCTTCTCAAATAACAACATTCAGGAAGCGCTACCGACTGCAACAGAAAGTGTTTTGATGCATACTGCAAATGATAAGACTACACACACAGTATATCACACATTTCTTGCTATTTTTCCAACAAGTAGCAGCTGGATATATCATCACTAAAGTGTTGGCTTTACCTGCTCGACCGAAAGGAACAAGAAAATTATTGATGCCATGTTGAGATAATTATATTTGATACATATACAGTATATACTAAAAGTAATTTTTTAGCACAATCATACCACAGTTATACTAAAAACAGCTCTATTTCTAATCAATAGAGTGTATTGATCAGTATGTAAAGACAGCATAGTACCATCCTGTTCTCTATAGGCTTAAGTTACAATTTCTTATGTGGCTTGACATTTTGATGAGACGTCTCTGCCATCTCTACTGTATAAATGATGGTTATACTGCAGACTCATCCAAAGACACGCCCACATAGCACCACATGTCACATGACTGAGGAGTGAGGAAGCAAATAGCCTCACATAGATCTGCAAAAACTCATTTGCAACGATTACATCTACAAGTCTCTGTCAAAAGACATTAGTTTTACTATAAAAACACACACAAAAAAAGCATGATTTCAGGGTTTTTTGTAATGTATAGCCGACTCACCAAACTTAAATTACTCTAACAGCACTTCTTGGTTTCTTTGGCATGGAAATGAAACAATTTAGGGAGAGTGAGACTGAAGAAATAAGAGTTTTTCTGGTGACTGAAGAGTGAAAGCAAAGTGAAGTTATGCTGAAATCAAATCTATGTACGTATGAAAGTCTGAAATATGCATAATGCTGCACTTACAAAATGCCGTCTCAATCCAAATCCATGTTTATGTAAATATCCAGATTGTTGTGCATGTAAATGAACACAGTTCTCATCCTCCAAGCAAGTGTTTCAAAGTCTTCTTCCACTGAATGAAGCCTGAGGAAGGCTGATCTCCACACAGGAAATAAAGACGTTGTTGTTGTGAGTTGTATTCCATTTTTGAAGAAGTAAAGGTACCACACAGTGGGTGATAAGGACCTCCAGAAAGCTCAGAACAATCATCTGCTGGGAAGTTGTGAAAAATCACTCCCCACATACTGAAAAGATGCTTTTACTGGAGTTAAAACAGCTAAATACAGTCCTGTTTTTGCTCAGTGAGACTGTGGTATCGTCCCATCAATCTGCTGATGTTGCAGGTATGCAGTCACCTCAGGACCTCCATCACTCTTCCTCCAACATTTGGTGAGAATTTCCAAAAACAGAGATGGCATGTGGAAGAAAAATGGTCAAAAAGAGTTGCTTTGATCCATCAAACGAAGGAGAAATCCTTTCCTTGGAAAAGAAAGACAAGTGATCCGTTCCCACCTGTTGGTAAAGTTTGACTGACTGGTAACAGAGAGGAAGAGGATGATGAAGAAGAAAGGTGAACGATGGAGAGTTGAGCATCCTGTCGTCTCTCAGCCAGGAGGATGAATGGAAAGCCTGCCTCTCTGCCTCCTTTTATATTCTCTCTTCCCCTGCTGCCTCGCTTTGGCTTTTACCCTGGCTTTAATGTGTGTGTGTGTGTGTGTGTGTGTGTGTGTGTGTGTGTGTGTATGCGGAGACAGACCTCTTTCAGAGCAGCAGGAATATATTATAACCCAAACAAAAGGCGCCGGCTTATTGTTTATGAATTACTAGCCTTCCAAAGCCAACAAAGGCCCCTATTTTCATAGAAAACTCCATTTTCATTTCAGCTCCATTTGATTACCAGAGCAAAGACAATAAAAAGGCCTCTCTGGGCTCAGCGTCCCAAAGGGATTCATTCCTCCTTCGCTCGCTCATTCAACGCCACTGAAAAGCTTTCTTTATTGCTTTCTTTTCAGGGCCGACGTCAAATGGGCTTTTAGGAGTAAACCAATGACAAAAAAAAAACTATTGCTTGGCTATTTTGTACAATAACAGGGCCGGGGGAAGAGAGGAGTCCTGTGTTGTCTTTGTCATCTTTTCTTCTTATGCTACAGGAGGAGAAAATTGCAGAGGCTGGAAATTCATGGCAAGGCTTTGAAGGGAGAAGAGAGAGAAAGACGAGGGAGTCACAATGCAACAATACAAGTCACATCTAAATGATCACTAGCTATTGAGCACAGTGAGGAGACAGAGAGGGACTGTGGGAGTACCTTTTACAGAACACACACCTGTTGGTTTCACCGCCAAAACACAATGCAACCCGATGTGACTCACTGCCATTTGATCCACGATGGAGCTGTCAATAGTGTGTGGCAGTGTACCTCACTATTATACCGTGTGTGTGGATGCAGATCATCACGTAATTACTTTTAAAGATGTCATTAAATCATTATGTGAATGCACGGATTATCTGTACTGTAAGTGACTCATCTGTTACCTGATGAGCGTCAGATAAAGTTGAAAAAACTCAAGCTTTTAAGTCAAACCCTAGGCTTCAACTTTAGAGTGGTTTATTCGCAAAAGGCAGGGGGTTATTTTTAAGAGAGATAAACTCCCTTCCAGCTGAAGGCTAGATTTTTTCTCACTCTTTGGAGATGTGAAATTTCAAAGGAGAAGTACAAAAGGTGAATTACCAACCAATACAACAGACCATCAAATACATTCAATGGTTACTATGCTTCAAAAGGTAATGGATAATGTACAAAAATATCTGTGTAACTATGATTCTTTGGGGGGAAACAACACCCTACCTCACTGTTGATCAATCTAAACCTGTAATCCACATGTGATCTGAGTCTTGATATAACAGAAGAATAGCAGAAGATGCTCTTTCATCTTTCTGCTATGCCTCCTGGATGAATATTTGGCTCGAGACAAAAGGTGAGCCAATCAATTATTCCTCCTGCTCTACCCGGTGCTGTTGTGAAAAGCGTTGACATTTGAGCTTTCCAGACGACATGTGCACATTGATATGCCTTCCATTGTGCGAGGCAGCCAGCCCTGCATCAAAAGGCTGTAAAAGGCCTTGTCAATTTAGTAAAGACAACTCCACAAAGACTCCTTTCTCCTCTGTTGTTATGGGAATAATGCTTTTCACCGGTGTACTGCCAAAACCTGTTGGCAATTGATCCAGGTGATGTTATTGATGGCATTGATAACAGACATCTAACATGGCAGCCGTCAAACTGTCAGACGCATTGTGAAACATCACAAACGTCTTCATGGAGGCTTTTTACAATGAATATGTGCACAATAGATGTCTCACCTTCAACATACTGTAGCTGACTGAAACCTCCATGTAAATATAAAATGGTAAGTCAATTGTCTCCATCCCTTAAATCTCCTTTCCCTTAAATGTCACCGTACAGCCTTCTTTACAAAACAGACAATAGCGTCTCTTCGCCAAACATCACGGACTGTTATAGCACATTATGAGTCCTTACTAGAGGTCATTTTTGCGGATGGTTGTCACTATGCATGCATTATAAGCCCATTAGAATTACTTTAAAATTAAATATCATCCATACGACACACAGATAAATCATAATAAGTCACATAGCTGTTGAGATAATGTACATCAGAAAGCATTATAGTTCACTGAATGCACTTCCAAAGGTTTGTGTTAATCTAAATGAATGCACATATCATAGATATATGACTTACTCACGAGTCTTTTGTCTGAGCAGACAATAATATATACAGTACTACAAAGCTGGTACTCTGACACAGGTTCATATAAGTACTGAATACTAAGAAACATGTACAGATCTTTACATTGTTGTTTACATCAAAAAGTATCAATGCATGCATCGAATACATGACTTACACACAACTTGGTACACAGCCTACAATGCAAGGCCTGTAGAGTTACTCTAATCAATACTCAATATGTGTGTGTGTGTGTGTGTGTGTGTGTGTGTGTGTGTGTGTGTGTGTGTGTGTGATTGAACTACCCCTCACAGGTTTGGAGGCATAGTAAACTCTGTTGCAAGTCCTGCATTCAAACTACTCAAGTTAAAGTACATAAGGTATTGGCATTACAATAATACTTCAATTACAAAGTACTCGTTTTTCAGTATGGCCCACATCAAATATGACATGTTCGTATTATAATTATTAATCTATTATAGTTAATGTTCACTTGGTACACTATGTACAAAATTGCTATACTGAATGGTAGCTTAACCTATAATAATACATAATGGTTTATTATATATATTATTGGTTGGTTTTAAAGGAATAGTAAAGAGTAACTATTTTTTTTTAAAGGAATGTAGTAAAAGGTAAAACAAATGCCTCCAAAATGTAGAAAAGTATAAGTAGCAAAGATTACTTCAAAATTGTATTAAAGTACAGTACTTGAGAAAATGTACTACCACCACCTATTATAGTACAGTTTAAACACAAAGCAAGAACCAGCAATGCTCACAAACAGAATAAACACAGACACATTCTTAGCATAATATATAACCTAACAACATAAACAAGTAGAGTACATTGAAAGTAGTTAAATACACGCACACGCATTTAAACATATAGCAAAAACAAATTGAAATAAAGTATCTGACTCACATTTGCAGTCTTCCTCTTTCATGGGGATGTCGAAACTGCACTTGCTTCTTTGAAAGTCATTTAGTTTGTGTTGACATAAGTATTATTGTTGTTCTTTGAAAGGTTGTTTGTTGAGAGTCTTCGTCCCTTTCTGTTGCTGCTAGCTTAGCACGTTAGCTGCGTCACACAGGTTAAACTAGCACACAGGTGAAAATAGCACAATTTACTCTAACTAAAAACTAATGGTTGTTTAATTGAACTTTTCCGAAGTTTGTGGTTTGATAGACTTTTTTAAATGTTTATTTGTTTCTTCTCCAGCGACGTGTCCTCTCTCGGTGTCGATGTGGCCTTACAGACGGGTTGCTCCTCACGTGCTAATTAACTGTTTCTTAATTAACGACAATGATTTGCACCTGGTGTGGATTTCGACAGGGTGTAATGCCCCCGTTTGACCACGCGCTGTTTCACTCGTTTGAGAGAATCTGGCAAAAGAAAAAGTCACGTTTAAATTAAAAATAATTTAATTTAATAAATGTTATGAATGTTTTTCCTCTTTTTATTTCTTCTCTTTTCCTGATTTGTGGATTTTTATGTAGTTATTTTATGTATTTAAGTGTTCATTTTCTAATTAATGCCTTATTTGTTATCAAATAATGTTTTAAAATGCAATTAAAATGACATTTTAACCAACAAAATATCCCCATTAAACTAAAAGTGTATTACTGGCATTAAAAGAAACGTTTTCTGTATTGCAAGTTTCTGAAATATTAACTTCATGTATGCAAATAAGGCTATATCTTATTAAATGTGTGGATATAACAGATATTTATAGAACATAAAGGCACTAGTTTTAAAACTGTTGTCTCATTTTGTTGGGATAAAAATAAATTCAGGCTATATTATATGAACAAACCCTTCTGTAAAACCCTTCAGAATATAGATGTATTGTGTGGTCAGTACTACCGAAGTGTAGATTTGAAATAGAAATCAACATGAAACTCACCCAGTTGCGTACTCACATAAACTCAATGATTGACCGGCATTATAAAAGATTCTTAGGGATTTGATTCCACATTTTATTCACAGACAAATGGGCAAAATAAATAGACAGGGGGTGATTCTTCTCATTGTAACTACTGCTATATCCTTCATCACCATCACATTTAAACACACTTCAGTCACTTTCAGTTAAATACATAAGTTAATAATTGACATACTGTATTACATAGCTTGCATACGTGTTGTTTCTTATTTAATCAACATTTCCAGGTGACATTTAAAGCCTTATAAATATTTAAAGCAAAGGAAATGTTTTTCTCCACAAGGCAGGTCTCCTGACGTTACAGCGTGATCAACAAGGTCCAGTAGAAAATAAGTAGTGTTACAAATCAAAACCAGGCGATAAGAGTAAAAACACAATCACAAATATAAAAAATCATTCTACAGTCAGTTTCATATTCACATCATTCAAATCAAGAGCATTTTCCAGTGTTATATTGCTTGGACTTCGGTCTTGAAGCAGAGAGAGAAACGAGCCGACTCTCCGCTTGTTTCACAGAGAAACTTAAAATTAACTTTGATTGTTTCTGTCTTACAAGGGCGGCTGTGGCTAAGTGGTAGAGTGCTGGACTTCGAATCAGGGGGTAGCAAGTTCGAGTCCCAATGCAGTCAGCATGTCGTTGTGTCCCTGAGACACTTCACCCCAAATTGCTCCTGTGGGGATTGTCCACAGTACTGAATGTATGTAAGTCGCTTTGGATAAAAGCGTCTAACAAATGAAATGTAACAAGGCTCTCTTTTCCTACACAAATACATACCTCAGAATTACTTCAGTGCAGTACTTGATTGTTTCACTGTTTACTTTCTGATCATCATTATATAGACGTCCACAATAGGTCCATAAGTTTCGAACACATTTTAAACCCAAAGTCCTGACTTCTTTTACACGTAAAACATATTCCAAGAAGTGGAAGAACAGCAGAATAACAGATCCTCTGTTTGTGTCCATGTCGCTGGGTTTAAAGACTTAGTAAAATACAAAAAATATTATATTCCTTAAAAATAAAAACACCAGGAATGTGCATATCCATTGAAGCAATGCAGTGGATCCCTAAAATATAATAGTAGTCGGTTGCAAAAAGCATAATTTTAACAACAATAAAAAAACTTAATCTCATCCTGTCAGTTACAGGTGCTGGTAAATGTAGTTTTATTGTAAAATGTAGTACCCCCCTACGATGTTTAATTAATTAACCAGCTTTATAGTTAGTCAGAATCAAGAGCATATATCATAAAACATTTTTAAATTGAAATGAAATCGCTGCCAATGAAATGAGGAGAGTGGTTTTAATCTGTGAAATGAATAAACCCACGTAGCGTTATTATACTGTTCCGGGTATGGTGAAATGTCCGACTTAATATAAAATCAGCACAAGAGGAAATAAAGATAAATACACAAGTAGATAATAAAAGTTTGTTTGTCAGTGCTCCAAAAAAGGCTGTTTAAAAAGAGTGGGACAGGAAGTGATGTCATCGTGCCTACCAGCTAATTTGGCTTCACAGCTTTACGGTCAGTGAGGATGGCTTTGCTGATTTTTCTGGCAGACTTTTTCTCTCTTGGTCCACAGTTTGGTACAAAGGTCACCGTGAAGGTCATAGGAAGAGGGAACAGGTTTTAAGGAAAGGTCATTTGGTCGTTTTAGAATCAGAGGTTCGTCTCGTCCCAGGTCGGGTCGTCCATGCTCTTCAGGACTCTCCGCACGACTTTCTCCAGCTCCTTCCTCGCTCGCTGCTCCTCCTCCAGCGTCCTCTTCATCCTCTTGTTGTCCTGCAGGAGGGAGACAGAAAATGAGTAAATATTTAAGGCTATTTCTTTAGCATCAATAGTAACTTTTAGCATCTATTTATGAACACACAGTTAAATAGATTATTGCAGTGCATTGTCATTGCTGCTACCTCTGCTTTGATCAATGCTTTAATTGAATTATGTCTATTTGTATTACTGCAGTGAGAGATGCATTTTCCTTTATGCATACTTGGACCTAGTTTGAACCTTATAAAAAGAGACAATTGAACAGTAAATGGATAATAATGAGGGTTAGTATAGTAATACATGTTTTAAAAAAGCTGCAGACTCACCTGTTTGAGTCCCTGGACCTCGTCTTTCAGGCTGTACACCGTGTCCACCAGACTCCTGCAGGAACACAACAGCTTTACGTTAACATATTCAAAACAATATTTGTGTCTCTGTGGCTTTCTCATATATTGTGTGAATGTAATATGTCTTCTATGACACTTGGCCACTCGTACATGCTATGAATGCCAACAGGTTTTATTTGATATCTGGTACGTGTGTACTGTTGTAATCAGATTTATGTTTTCAGTATCCACTATTTTCCATATTTGTGTTTTGCCTTTTTTGATTCTGCAGCAGTTCTTTGTCCCTCAAGGGGATGCTTTGAAAGCCCACCATATCTATATTAGCAAACAGTAAGTATGTTGTGCATAAAAACACAGCTTCATCCCTAGTTCTCACCTCTCCTCCACCACAGTTTGTCCGTTGCTCCTGGTCTCCTCCACTATAATCTTCTCTTCCTCCGGGAACAACATGTGTACATCCTTCCTGCTCGAGCCTGATTGAACATTGACAGGGTAAGTTATTAAAACACATACACAAACACATAAACTCTACTATGGGATATTAGCTTGATGAAGCTACTGTATACTCTTGAGGATGCACACAGGTTCAAACACAAAGACACGAACACACAGCAGGTGAAAGGTTGGGGAAGATCTATAGTAGTTTGCCAGCATGTCAGTGGTTTTGCGACACCGATATCTTACGAGAAAATGAGGCAGTCCTGTAACTATGGGCGTTCCAGAGACTGTCATAATCCGAGTCCTCTGATTGGTCAGAACAAGGCGGGTTGCCAGGGATACCAGCGACGGTGAGGCTGGTGTCCACGAGCACATGGTTGTGCATGAGGTCAGTCCCTTGCCAGGCTGTACCATAACGTAACCAGCGAAGGATGGGGTTGGAACAAACCAAATGTCATGTTGGGGGGATAAGGTGAGGAGGATAAACCATATTGGATAAAGGAGAGGGTTTGGGGTAAACCAAATGCAACCATACATTAAAGGAGAACGGATTATTGGGGATGAAGGATTTAAAAACAATAGTTTCAGAAATAAAGAAAAACAAAAAACAAACATATGGAGGAAGTAATTAGGTCAGGTAATCAGAGGAAGGGAAGACATAAGAAGAGAGGAGAGAGAAAACATTGTTAGAGCTGACAGCAGAGAACAAACGGTGGTTAGCAATCAAACAGATAGCGGTGTGTGTGTGTGTGTGTGTGTGTGTGTGTGTGTGTGTGTGTGTGTGTGTGTGTGTGTGTGTGTGTGTGTGTGTGTGTGTGTGTGTGTGTGTGGTGTGTGTGTGGTGTGTGTGTGTGTGTGTGTGTGTGGTGTGTGTGTGTGTGTGTGTGTGTGTGTGTGTGTGTGTGTGTGTGTGTGCGCTCACTGGAGTTGAGAGTGGCTCGTGTCTTGGCGCTGGTGCAGTAAGCTTCGATGACCTTCAGGATCTGAGCGTCCTCCTCTAGAGCTGCTGTACCTGAGAGACAGAAGGACAGGTGAGACAATGGAGAAAAGACAGTGTTAATGTTCCTTAAATACTCCATACACAGCTGTATCTGTAACAACTCAACTGGAAGGAATATATTAAGGATGTTTTGTGGATTCTTTTAAGGTAACACAAAGCCTGTGTAGACGGCAGTAGTGTAAACTGTGGAGCCTATCACGTTGCACCCAGAAATGTTTTTTTCCATCGTGAGAATTTAGTATTTATTCCGTTGCATACTCACTTTTTCTGACAGTGAAGTCCTCCTCTGAAGGTTTCCTCTCCGGCTTCCTCTTAGGGAGCAGCTTCTTCATGTTCTTAGGACTCTTACTCATATCCTACAAACAAAAACACAGACAAATGTAACACAAAAGGACCCAGAGATGTATAAATATTCCGACTTTTAACAACACATTTGTATATACGCCAGTGTACAGCACCTCCTTGGAGCAGAGAGCAGCTGAGGGTCGGAGTGGAGGAGCAGGGCGGAGGCAGCTCAAGCTCCAGGGTTTGGGGGTACTGGGCGGCTCCAGGGGCCCCCACATCGGGCTGCTGTTGAGGTTCATCCCAAATGAAGGGGGATGGGGAAGGGTGTGGTAGTTGTGTCCGACGCTTCCTCCACGAGACTCCGAGTGTCTGGAGGGAGTGGCGGGAAGAGAGGGCAGCTGGGAGACGAAATGGAGAGGTTATAGAATATAGGAACATATGGCACGTT